TCATCTCTACAATAAATCAAAAAATTAGCCGGGTGTGGTAGCGTGCACCTGTAATTCCAGTTACTCGGAAGGCTGAGGCGGAAGGATCGCCGGAGCCTAGCAGGTGGAGGCTGTGGTAGGAGCGGCCACTGCACTCCAGTCTGGGCGACAGAGTGAGACTCCAACTCAAAAAAAACAAAAACAAAACCAAAAAGAACTCTGTCAAACTCATATTTTTGTGTGGTTTTGTTTGCTTGTTTGTTTGTTTTAATCAGAGACAGTGTCTGGCTCTGTTGCCTGGGCTGGTGTGCAGTGGTGTGATCACAGCTCACTTGCAGCCTCCAACTCCTGGGCTCAAGCGAGTCTCCTGCCTCAGCCTCCAGAGGAACTGGGACTACAGGCATGAGCCACAACACCCAGCTAATATTTTTACTTTGCAGAGACTGGGTCTTGCTATGTTGCCCAGGCAGGCAAACTCGTTTTCACCACGATGAATTTATCTGCAGTCCTGGTTACACCTTAGGTTACCAGGAATGCTCAAATGCCTCGGGCAAAGATTCGATTCAGTGCAAACAGCAAGCCTTTTAATGGGTGTGTAGATATCTACATATGCATTAATATATGTATAGTTTTAGAGACCTAAGCACTGTGAAATTACACAAGGGCATAAGAATCAAAAGGCAAAATGATCAACCCGAAGCAAAGAAAATGAAACAGAACATTCTCATTTAATTGAGTGTAACAAAGTGCACTAAATAAACTTGGTAAAGAAATGCAAATCTGACTCTTGAAGCATACAGTTTTAATTATTTAAGGGGTCTGTCGCAGAGTTAGGGATGTTTTAACTGTATTAACTCTCTGCTGACAGCTTCCTTTAATTTCTCGGCAGGAATGCACACATTATTTTTACATTATGCGGTTACAGATACAAAGAGAAGGTCACAAGAGGAGTCAACATGAAGGTGGGGGTCAGAGAGGAAAATGTTAAATAAGGAACAATGTTTCAAGTCACAGGCCCCTGCCTGGATGGCTCACTTGCAGGAGGGAACACAGTCAGCCCAACGGGAGAGACCCTGAACACGTTGTCTCCAGAGGCTTTGTTTAATTTTCTTCTTTTTTTTTTAGGAAACAATCTGTGTTAACAATGACAATTTCAGTGAGAGAAATAAAGACATCCGTATGCAATCTGGATAGTCTCACATCCCTTCGATGCCTAATCTTCTTATTTTCTTTTATCTGTGTCAGAGAAGAAGAAAAGGAAGGAAGGAGAAAGGAGAGAAAGAACAAAAGTGGAAAGAGGGAGGAAGGCACTGTGAACTGGTAGTCACAGTGGGTCTAATTGGAAGTCCAAAAAGAAAGTTCAACTTCTGCCAGAAACAAGACAAAGCAATGGATTTTTCCTGTTAGGAAGGTTAGAAATGAATATACCGTTACTATAAAGAAAATCTACTGATCCACTGAGAGCTCACCAGCAATCTAGAAACCCCACTCATCTTAGCCAATGTTGCTCTAAGATATGTAAAAATGTTTGACGTCTTCCCTTCATGGAGACTCAGTCACACTCAGTGGTTCCAACCATATCAACATCTCCTGTCTCCTAAAAGTAGTTTTCCCAGAAAATGAATGACTGCTCCCTGCTGCAGTGGACTGTGCCATGCTCTACAGGAGACGGGTGTGTCCCCATACTGACAGCTTCACGAGAATGAAGCTGTCAGCATTTATACTTCATCCATCAACGTTTGAATGAAAATCTGATAAGTCAACCACGAGAACTCTAAATATATGAATAATTTCCACCTCTATCTACTTTCCTTCCTACCTACCTCCTGCCTACCTTACCTACCTATCAACCTGCCTATCTATTATCTATTTATATATCTACATACCTATTTATCTGTCTACCTATCTATCTATATGTCTACATACCTATCTATCTACCTACCTACCTATTTATCTACCTACCTACCTATCTATCTACCTTCCTATCTACCTACCTATCTACATATCTATCTACCTACCTACCTACTAATCTACCTACCTACCTATTTACCTATCTATCTATATACCTACCTTTCTAGCTACATATCTGCATACCTATCTATCTACCTACCTGTCTATCAATCATGTATGTATGTATGTATGTATGTATGTATATACCTGTCTATTTACTTATCTATCCATCCATCCATTCAACCATCCATCCATTCATCCTTCCACATATCTATCTATGTAACTACCTATCTATCCATCTATCTACCTACCTACCTATTTATCTATATACCTTTCTATCTACATACCTATCCACCTAACTATTTATCTATCAATCATGTATCTATCTACCTATTTATTTATCTATCCATCCACCCACATATCTATCTATCTATCCATCCATCCACATATCTATCTATTTATCTATCTATCTACCTACCTACCTATTTATTTATCTATCTACCTACCTAGTATTTATTTATTTTCCACCTTTCATCCTGATGCAACTTAGCTAAACCCCAGACACAGGACGCAGGTTCCACATCAAAATCATTTGGATGTCCATCCCAACTAAACAGAGGAACGTCACAGTCATCGTCTTGAATTAGACAGAAAGCAGCACAGATGTAAGCCCCTAACTGTCAACAGGACCCTGAACTATGGACTTACCCACGTTTGCGCAGCCAATAATCACCTGGTACATAATTTGTTTCCCATCTTGGCTCCATATTGGGTAGTCAACCATTTAAGGCAATGGGGAACACCAGTCAATTTCTGAACTGCCCTCCTTCTCCGCCCGCTTACCTCCTTGAGAAACACTTCAATGTCCTGTGGGATTAGCAATTAAACAGAGGCCAAGGAATGAGAAAATAGAGGGGACAGGAATGGGGGGGGACATTCCTTCTCAGCTTTGAGCTGAAATAAGAGTCCAAAGCAGACAACAAGACATGCAGAGAAGACTCTGGCATCAGCACCACTGACGTGACGTCACGCAAGAGAAACAAACATCGGGAAGATGCGTGAGGATTGAGTCAGGTAGGGGACAGGGGTGGGGGACAGTGGCGAGTATAGATTCACATTCAGAGTTTATATAGGTCCCGCAACCCAAAGCACGAAGGTCCTTTGTTATGCCCAGGACTGAGTACCAAGCAGGAGATGATCAGAAGACAAGACAGTGCGGCACGCCAGAGTCACACTGCAAGACAGCAGGACCGATGGAGGCCACAGGAAGGAAGACATGTCCACCCACAGGCACTCAGAGTTGAAAATAAGACCCCCAGTAGAGTGGGTGGATGCAGCAGAGATCATGAAGGCTGAGGCAACTCTAGGAAAAGGACGCTTCCCGAATTGGGCATTTGATGAACACTTTGAAAGGAACAGTCTAGACTGCCAAATATTTTTGCTATCAAAGGATGTCCAAGGCAGACTCTGATGGCCACTGGCAGATATATCTGTTCACACTGTGTAAGACCCTCACACTATATTTTCCTGCTTAGTTTACAACTTTACCACTTACTGTTTCTGCTGCTGACTTCTCAAATGGCCTAACATTCCCCTCAAGGCATCGTGTCAAATGTCCCAGCAAGTGAATATCTTACCGAAGCAATCTAAACTCCAGAGCCAGATTCAAATATCAGAGTGAGATCTGCACGTGTGTTTGAGTGCCCCCCATGGGAAACAAGATAACATGGGAATCTAGAAGAAAACACAGCACCAGAAAACCCCAGAGCAGGACAAAACTTACACACAGGGCGTCGGGTTCAACACTGCATGGATCCCTCTACCTCTTCCAGCTGACATAAATTTTCACTCCAAGGTTTTCAGAGAAAGAAAGCTCATAATCCCCCTCTCCTCCCCCTGGGCAACCCATTCTGGTTTTTGAAGGTGTTACTTGTTGGAAAGTTTCTCTTCCAGTATCTGCACCTCCAAAAAAGCTGATCATGGTCCAAAGACTTTGGCCTCGAGCCTGAAGACTGAGTAACAACTTTGGCTCAGTCGTTCGCGAGGGACAA